TGGCCATCGAGGTTTTAGTTCTTGTTATGATCTTTTTATTTCTAGAAGTCCTGGTTGGTTCTTTTCCAAATTGCCATTTCATTGTTTAGTGGTTGCCTGTCCTCTGCTTGGGGTTGGTTTCCTTACTCAGGTGAGCAGGGCTGGTGGATGCCCTTTCAAATGCCCGTGATCCCCACTGAGCACACCTGCCTCTGGCCGGGCCGCATCTCATGGGCTCTTCCTGCCCCGCCCCACCGTCTCTCATCCACTCTGGTCGCTGACCTCACAGAGCCTCTCCAGGGTTCCCATGTCCAGAAAGGCTGGTGCGTGATGGATGAGAGCTTCTCCGGGCCGCTCACATTGAAGTGTCACTCCTTCACTGGGGTTATTCGTGCCATTCTAGACAAATAACGGCAATAATCACTCTCCTGGGAGGCGGGGGTGGGCGGCTGGCTGGTAGGTTCCCCCATTCCCTGCCTGTCTCAGGCTCACAGAGGGCTGACACCGATCACAAAAGCTCATGGGCCTGCACTGACGCCCTCCTCTGCACGCCGCCATAGCCAGCCCAAGTGACCTCTGGGAGATGTAGTCTCAGTCCCGGGTCGTGTTTCCCCCCACCCCGCTGCAGGCCCTGGCAGCTTCCTGTTCCTTTCCCAGTTCTGCAGCACCTTGGCAGCCATTCCTTTTTCTATTCCAGTATCTCTTACTGTTTTCCATGAGAGGGTTGCCCTGGGTAACCTGCCCGCCTTCACCAGAGCAGGAGTGCAAAGAGACCTCTCTGGTGATTCACATACTAGTTATAGCAACCACAGCCATCCTCCAGTGGGCCTTGGGGCCACACCCAGACCCAGGGCGGGGGATGACATGTCCACAGCCTGTCTCCGCCACATTCTTGGCAAACAGCAACTGTGCCTGGTCCATTGGGTTCCTGGGACCCTGAGACTCAAGCCTAGAGATAGGGTCAAGAGAGCACGGAAGGACCCTAACTCCTGACTTGGCTTTGCCCCTGATGCAAGTGTCCTAACGCCCTGCATGGCTCTGCCTGTGCCTGCACAGTTTGGAGCCAGTCCCCGATCCCCACACAGTGTAGACATGGCACAGAGTAAGCAAGATCCAGAAAACACTAGTCAACATGTGATGCTCCCCCCACGGATCCAGTGGAGTGCACCCCTGTCCTGTGGGCCCTAGCCATGCCCTCTGGAACCATGACAGGTGACAGTCCTGGGCTACACCCACTGCTAAATCTCCTGGGCCAACTGTCTGCAGGCCTTCATCCCTGGCTTCTGAAGTGGATGACCAGGGTCAGGGAGAAGGTGGGAGGAGGCTGTGAATGCCAGGGCACCCCCAGCTGTTGCACAGCAGGCGCTCAGTGAAGATGGCTCCTCCTTCTTCCTCTGTCACTGCTCAGTACATGTCATGGAGCTCCTACTCTGCCAGGTCCTCTCCGCTGTGCCAGGCACACAACTGAACAGACAGACCTATCCCAGCTTATGTCCACATTGAAGCCAGTAGTAATGGAGAAGGGACGGCGAGGCCAAGCTATCAAAGGGACCATGGCAGTATCCAGGGGCCACCACCATGATGGACGTGCGGCTCTGCAAGCATTGGGGGTGTGCAGGAGCCCTTTCATCCCTGGCCACCATGAGCCATCCAAGGGGACTTTTGTAGTTTTTGTGATTTTCTTCTGAGACCATAGTACTGGAAACAGTTCTAGTGAGGTCAGAGGTCTTCTAATCAGGGCTCAGAATGGAGGTTTAACTGGAGTACTTGATGCTCTGGGCTGAAGTGACATCACTGGCTTTTCCACTCCCACCTCCTCTGGCTTGGGAGACCCTGTCCTCTTGCAGAGCTGGCGGCTTAGCCAGATTGTGCCCTCCCCACCCCCGTGGCTGTGACTCTCAGCCCCACTGGGTCTCCAAATACCAGGGCAAGGCAGGACTTTCTCCTCTGGGGACTCCTGCTGCCGTGAGCTGTGGTTAGGCTGGGCACCATGTTCTAAAACAGCTAACATGTGTTTCCGCTGAACTGGTCCCATGACCTCTTTCTCAAATCCCACCAGATGTTTCCCCAAGAGAGACCCTGCTGCCCACGTAAACAGGGGTGCACATTTTCCCGGGAGGCCAGCAGTAGGCTCTGGCTCGTGACCACCAGTGACAGATGTCTCCATGGACTTGGAAGAGTGTGTTTTGAGTCTTTGCGTGTGGGTGAGCAGCGCCTGGAAATAAATCTCGGTCGGTAGCAGGAAAAGACACCCTCTACCACACATGGGCTGGGGACGGTCATCCCTCCTGACTCAGGGATGTACTGTGATGTCAGCATGTGAGTCACCAGGGCTGGGGGACCCTCTTTGGTGAGCTGGACAATGCAAGTGAGGTCCCAGCTGCCTGCAGGGAAGGGAGAGCCCACTCTGAGCTCACCTCATTGCCCTGACCTCCAGCCAGCCAGAGGACTGCATGAGGCTGCTGAGAGCACCGGAGACCCCTTGCTAGTGATTAAGTCACTTGCCAGAGACCCCACAAAGGCAGGCAGGATTCTGATGTGGGCTGCCCGCTACACCCGCCCCTCAGGGGTCTTGGGGGATCTGGGCTGCTCTCACATGAGCCCCCACTGGGGGCTGCCTCTTCTAGCTCCTGCTGAGATGTGTCAGTTCAGAGGGAGCCCGTTCCCATGCTCCAGACTCAAGGGTGCCCCACATTGCATGCCTATGAGCCTCATGCCCAGAGTGCCCTGGTCCTGCTGTCCTGCTGTCCCCTCCAGCTAGCAGAGGGACCATGCTTCTGCAAAGCCCCCCACATGCTCAGAGGTCCTCAAACGAAGTCCCACAGGACTCTGTCCTGCAGCTTCCTGAGTGCTATGTGCAAGTGTGGCCTTACATGGAAAGAGAGTCTTAGCAAGTGGATTAGGTTAAGCATTTTGGGGTGAAATCATCCTGGATTTAGGATAAGCCTTAAACCCAACAGGAGAGAGAGAGAAAGACATGGGGACCCCCAGAGGAAAGGAGGCTGGGTGAGGGCAGACAAGTTGGAGAGATGCAGCCGTGAGCCCAGCAACACCTGGAGTCCCCCTTCCCCCGGGGAAGGAGTGTGGTCCTGGCCACCCCTGCATTTCAGGACTGAGAATATATCCTACTGTTTGAAGCCTTCCTGCTGCAGTCATTTGTTATAGCAGCCCCGGGACACTAATACAACAGCATAGTAGGCATCTCTGTGCCTCGCTTTCCCCAGCTATAAGTGAGCACAGGGATGGGACCTACCTCACGGGCTTGTTGTAAGGATCAAATGGGGTGGTGCACATCAGAGGCATAAGGTAGGATCTGGCAGGTGAGAAGGCACGTGGACATTAGCCTCCATTACTGTCATCCTCATTATTACAGTTGCCCTTCATTCCTTCATTTGGTCACATGTGGAGCACCTGCTCTCTGTGACCTGTGGGCACTGGGGCAGCAGGCAAGAATGCCCAAGCAGAACAAGATCGGGGGCTGATCCGGTGCTGTTGCTGATACAACAAGGCTAGGGACTTCGTGGGGTGAGGTCAGGTAACCCGTGGCAGGGGTCACTGGAGGAGGGACGAGAGAAGCAGGAGGTGGACTTGGGGCATCAAGGATGTCCTGCTCCTCAGTAGAACTCAGACTGGCCCCAAAGGCAGCCGACCTAGCAGCCCTTCTCCCTAGCTGGCATTTCCTGGGCCCCTGGAACAGTGCTGCCATGGCTTCGGTGTTCGATGGGTACACCTCTCACCCTCTTCAGATCTGCCTTCCTGAGCGTCATCCCCAAGTATCTTTGGCTGTGTTGCTTTTCACCAGCAGCCTACAGGCACCTCAGCACTGTGCCACTCCTCGGCCTGCTGGCATGAGGTGGCCTAGACCCCAATCAGTTCTGGATCCCAACTACTAGTCCTGTAGCCTGAGCAGGTGAGCCAGGTCCCTCTAGGTCTCAGAGAAGGAGGGGTGAGTGGGACCTCAGTTTGGGACCTCAGTCTTGGGCCCCAGTCTCCCCTTCCCTTCAAGCCTCAGGGAACCAAGGACCCACTGCCCACGGGCAGCTCTTACTCAGGGTCCCTCGTGCTCTTTGCTGGCTTTGGTTTCGATTCTAGCGATGCCATGAGGCAGCTGAGGGTCTCGGGTGCAAAAGGTCTGGCAGCGCTCACGTGTGGGAGACAGGTGTGCTGTGAATGCGTAGATTCTATGCCCTCTGACACCAGACCCAGCGGGAGCAGGAAGCATTTTGGGTTCACCCCCAGGGGAGAGTGAGACCCTAGGGATAGTGCAGCCTGGGTGGGAGCTGTGTCCCACCTGTAAGCTGTGAGGCACTAGGCTAGGGTGACCACCTTGTAGGCCTCAGTGTTCCCATCTGTAAAGGGGGCATGAGCTGTGCTGTCCTTCTCCAGCTTGGGATGAGAGCCACTATAGCCAGTTCTCATGAAGCCCTGTCCTCCCCACTCAGTGCTCAGGGACCCTTGGCTGGTTTGTTCATGACACTGGAATGGAGAGGTGGCTTCTCTGAGCTCACAGCAGTTTGGTGGAGAAGCCAAACTTGAATCTATGCCCACCCTTAAGCCCTGGCCCCAGGCTGCCACTCCTGTGAGTGGAGTGTTCAGGAGAGAAGACAGAGGGGACTCATCCTCAGCCATCACCTCCACATCCCTGCTTGGGAGCCAAAGCCAAGGCCAACGAGCCTGGGCTGTGTTATGAAAGGTTCCCTTTGGTGGCCTGGGCTGCTTTGGGGGCCCTTGACTAATCCCCCTGAAAACTTCCCAGATGCTTTGGAGTCTGTGCCCCTGATACCTCTCTAGGCCCTCCTGGCTTTGAACGTTCCCATGTGACTTGGAGGAGTCCCCTTCCCCCCTGCCATCTTCAAGAAAGAGACCCAGCCATGCTCAGAGTATGGTCAGGGCAGGGTGGTTGGTGACAGGCAAGCGCAGCCGCACACAGCAGCTGCTCCATAGACCATGGGTGAACTAAAGAGGTAAACATGGTTCTCAACGCACCCGGCCCACTCTGACTGGAGACTGTTCTCTTCTAGACTAAAATCCATGGGGTTGGGTTCGTGAAAATCCATGCGCCCTGGAATGTGCTCTGCAGAGAGGCTGAGTTTTTGAAACTGAAGATGCCGACGAAGAAGGTTAGTGGTGACATTACTATTACAAAATACATCGCCAGGTCTGAGTGTCACACAGACGCTTGGCTGGAGAATGTCTTTGACGCAAAGCTCTGACTTCTGAAGAGCCAGCGGGCTTTATTGCCACCCCAGGGAGGGCAGTGTGGCTCAGAGGGAATGAGGCTTCCTTGGTTCTATCATCATGGAGACTGTGACCCTGGCTTTGGTGGCCTTTACAGCCCCCCACCAAATCCTACCAGGAGAAGATCCAAGCTCTGGGCCATCAGAATTTATGATAAATACAGATCCAGTTAAACTTTGAGCTCTGGTGCTTTTATGCTTGTGGGGTCTCAGCTCATTTATCAGATTCAACTTAATTACATTTCCTAGCTTGCTGGGATTTTTCCTTTTAATCTCTGGAAACTTTATGGCCGTGGAGAATTTGACAGTGGAACTGAGCTTGGCTTCCACGTTTGCTTGTGCTTGTGGAGGGCTGAAGCCAGGCTCCTCGATGAGTTGGCCCTGGGCTTCTCCTTAGAAACAACAGTAAAATTTGGGGGGAAAGGTTTCTGGAATGTATCGTAATTGAGCTCTTGGCTAGACTTTCCCAACACGCTGAACTTTCAGGGTCAGCCCAAAATCTGAGCAGGGAGGGGGCATCCTAGCCACCAGGCGCCCTGCTGGGAGGTGGGAGCTCCCTGATCGTCTAGGAATGAACCCCAAGGCCAGGGCTCAGAAGAGTGATGCAGACCCCTGCTCGGCTTTCGCCTGCAGATGTATCACATTAGTGAGACCCGAGGCCTCCTGAAAACCATCAACTCGGTGCTGCAGAAGATCACGGACCCCATCCAGCCCAAGGTGGCCGAGCACAGGCCCCAGACCACGAAGAGGCTCTACTACCCCTTCTCCCGGGAGAAGCAGCACCTGTAAGCGGGCCCCCTACTGCCTTTAGACACTGCTCTCTGGTTTTCACCCTCTAGCAGGAAATCCACATGGGCAATTCTCCCATCTCCCTCACCCAAAAAAGAGGAAACTTTGGCCCTTGGTGGGTATTGTGAGAGCTTTATAGGTGTACCTAGGAGAGTCCATGGATTGAATTCTAAGGTCACCAGTCACTGAACAATTAGAGAGGCGGTCTTGTCCAGCCTGGTGACACCTAGGAAGAGCCACATGGGCAGGGATCTCCGCATCCCTCCTGCCCGGCTCCATTCCCTGTGGGGTTGGTTGACAGCCACACCATCTGCAGCCTGGGCAGCAGCCAGCCAAGCACTCAGGGAGATGGAACTGAAAAGGGTGCCCACGGGGACTCCTGAGCCCCAGGGACCCGCAGCCAGCAGTGGCGTTGCCTGGCAGTGCCAACCCTGCTCTGGAACCTTCCATCCTCCCTTGCTCCCATGGGGCAATGGTAGCTGCATACTACCCATGGGCCTTGCTGAGCAAAGCTGGAGCATGGGCAGAGGAAACCTGGGGGAGTCTGAATGGTGAGCCTGGGGGAACAAGCGCCCCTGGGCACCGCCAGCCTCCTGTGTGGGAGAAGGGCCAGAAGTACTCACAGCGGCCTCGCCTTGCAACTGGGGCATCTGCCCTATAGGTGTAGTGGTTGCCAAGGGAGCGAGTGCTTCACTCACTGCACAGCCAGTCCTGGTGGGGGTGGATACATTGGGAAAAGGAAGTGGCCCCCTGCCCAGCTCCTGCCACCAGCTCTGTCTAGAACAGAGACCCGGGCGGTAGAGAGCTGTGGCTTTTACCTGGACCTTCACAGCCCCTCCTCTGGCATGGCCAGGCCCCTGCCACCCTCCAGCTCTCTCCTAATGTCTTGGGGAGTAAGTGGCTTTTCTGGAGATTTCCCTCTGCCCTCAGGACACCTCAGACAATCTCTGCAACACCCAAGACGTCAGGACCCAAACCCCTGGGCAGTTCCAGGGAAATCATTTTCAGAACTGGAACTGTGTCATGGTGTGGAATGATCCTGTCCCCGTCCCCCACTGTGCCAACTCTAAAAGCTGCCTGCTGGGGATGTCATCAGGGAGACTACACTTGTACCGTGGGGTCTCTTCCCACACCATAGGTCTCAGCTCCACCAGGTGCAGGGACTAGTGACACAGACCGTTCCCCATGGCTGGGGAGGGGCAGGTCACACCTGGTGTGTGGACACAGCTCTTTCTATTGCACACTGACTGCTGATGGGGGCAGGTGACTTCCCAGGGCCTGGAAACCCAGAGAGATGCCTCCAGTGAACGGCCTGTCTCCTCCCCTGTGTTTCAACAGATTCGACCTGTCCGATAAGGATTCCTTTTTCGACAGCAAGACTCGGAGCACAATAGTAAGTTTCACAGTCGGAATCACCTCACCAGCAAGCAGAGTGTCTCCAGGGATGAGGAGGATAATTTCATTTTGGTGAAACTCCTCCGGGTAGAAGCTGGCTCTAATTATCTGCGACAGAAATAATTAGAATAATGAATTGAGAGGGCAGCCAGCAGCCCGGGGGACAGCCAAGGCCTCAGCCGGCTCAGAGGAGAAGCGTGAGAAAGAACAAAGCCACAGGAAGGCTGGGAGGAGGGGAGGCACTCGGCACCCCCCGAGTGCCTGCAGCCTTGTGCTGCGTCCTTGGGGGTCCTGCACATCTCGTGCTGGCTCCCAGAGGAGACTGCGCGGGCATCCATGTTGGATCCCCAGCCAGGTTTCTGAGCAAGCAGGCATGGCATGAGGGCCAGGCAGTGGAGGCAGAGGTGCTGCGTGAGGGTCTATTTCTAGGCCTTCGCCAGATGAGTAAACCGAGGTTTGAAATCCGACCAGGCCACCCTACCCTATTCAAGGTACTGACTTAATGTTTATCCGTCCGCTGCCAACTTGTCCACCAGCCAAGCCGGGCTGTGCGGGGCACAGGACCCAATTTCTATCTAAACAAGAAATTAACCTGGCAGCCAAGCCACGCTGTCATTCTCTCCGCCTGCCCAGAACGCGCCGCCTGGCTGGGCAGCTGTGCAGGGCTCAGAGGAGGTCTCCCCGTGCAGATAACGCCCCTCACCGCCTCCATCCCGAGGCTGGCGGGTGGCCAGCGCAGGATGATGGTACAGGGCGCCATGGCATCAGGGGCTCCAGCTACTGCCAGGACAGGCAGGTCTGAGTCCCATCTACCCTTTGCCCCTTTGACCCTTGTGACCTCAGGACAGTACCCCTGCCTGTATCAAGACAAGGACAGTTCTAGCTTGCCCCCCAAAAGGCATCTGTGTACCTCCATTGGGTTAGTCATGTGGGCTTGTGCCAGGTACCAAGTCACCGTTGTGGGTTTTTCTTTATTATTAATGGTGTAACTAATTTTAGCAATTAGATTTGCATGATAATAAGCAACAAGGAACTCAGACAAAACAGCTTAACTCGGAGCTAACATGTTCACAAGAGCCCCCCCCCCCATATTGGCCCCTGGGGAGAACTACAACAGCGTTAACCTGAACTGTGTCCCCGCTATGTCACTGCGACGTAGGGGAGAGCTGGGTAGCCAACTTGGTGAACCAGGTCACGCACCTGTGTTTCAGTATGTCTGACACTTTGACTTTCTGCATTCTCTGGGGCTGCTAGAGTGCACCCAAGGCAGGGTGCAAGTTCGTAAATCCCCTCTTGCTGTAGGGGATGGCTGGGGTGCAGGGAAGCGGAAGCAGAAGCAGAGGGGAAGTTCTGATGCCATCTTTTTGGGAATCTCTAAAACTGAATTGGTCTCTAGGTGATAGCTTTTGTGACCAAGTCAGAGAAATGGATTCTGCCCAGACCTATAGATATTAACCGAAAGATCCATTTACCTTCGGGGGGCACTGTTACCCGCTGTCCCATTTTTGGACACTTTGTAAGCGACCATGAGCTCCAGAGAAAGTCTTGCCCTTGGGTAGCCAGGCCTGATGGTGTTCAACATCAGGTGGCATCCAGAGTTGGGGTGAGGCCCTTCTAGGCCCAGATGTGGGGCTGTCCCAGGCCACTCCACTCCTGGCATTGGGGTTGCACAGTATATAATGGGGAGGGCCCAGTGTGCTGGTCTTGGGTTTTAAACGGTTGGCCCACTGACACAAAAGGTTTTGGAGCAAGGTTTTGGATGTGGTCAGATCTGATCTGAAATGAACACTCTGGGAACAGGCTGTGAAAGAGCAGACAAAAAGCAGATGCGGGGTAAGAGCGGTGGTCGTGCCTGGGGACGGTAATGCGTAGCGGGATGAAGTAGTAGTTACAGGAAGATCAGGGCGGGACAGGGCAACCCGTTAGATTTGGAGGGTGACCAAGAGTCAGAGTAATGGAGTGAGTGACTCGTTGCTTCACCAAGAAGGTATTTATTGAGCACCAGCTGTGTGCTTGAGACCGGTGGGCAGGAAGAGGGCAGGTGGTGACAGGGAGCAGGGTCAGAAGACAGCAACGGACAGGCACAGGGCTGTTTCATAGCCTGTTGGTTACAGTGGCTCAGAGACATGTAGATCTGGAGGGGACAAATGGTTCTGAGAGAAGGAACAGCCAGCGTGGAGACCCTGAGAAGCAGGAGAGGGATCAAAGAGAGAGAGAGGTGGCTGGGGCCACTCACAGTGGGGAGAAGGGAGAAAGAGGGCAGGACAGAGGCTGGCAGGACCTGGTGGCCAAGAGAAGGGCACTGGCCTTGCCCAGGGAGTGGGAGCAGTAGACAGCTCCGTGGGGAGTTGCATGCCTTAAAGTGTGTATCTGTAAGTTGGGAGTTGGTTAGTCACATCCCATTTTGCAGATGATAAAACTAAGGCACAGTTGACAATGCAGTTTATCCAAGATTATAGTGATGGAACTGGCACTCAGAACAAGTAGTATCCCTGCCACCAAGGGTCCTGAGGCCACCAACATAATGGCTCCACTTTGGAGCCTGTGTTGGGGCGAGATTTCCTTAGAAGGGCTCTGCCTAGCATCTTCCACCATAGTGTGGCCCATGGAAGCCCAAGACCCGCCCCCGCCCTGTCCCCCAGGCTTCTGGGACACCCTGGGCTGAGCCCAGGGGCTCCTGCTCCTGCTCATCTCTCAGCAAAAGAGGATGATGACCCTCTTCTCAGGGCACTGGGACAGCTGTGGTGCTTCATGCCAGTGCAGTGCCAGGGGACGCCCACCCAGCTATGGCCCGGCTGGCCGCACTCCGTCCTGCTGTGGGAAGTGAAGGGTCGGGTCCGACTCTGCACGGCTCACTGGTGTATGCACGCCTCAGGCCTTCGACCCCGCTAGAATCCTAAGCTTACTGCCCACTCCTGAGAAGCATCCTCCCTGGGACAGCGTGAGTAGCTGTCCTGGGTCACATCTGAACAGCCAGACGCCTGCTGTGGGCCCGAGGTGCTGCAAGCCACTGCTCACCCCTCCTTGTCTCTCTGCAGGTCTATGAAATTTTGAAAAGAACGACGTGTACCAAAGCCAAGTACAGCATGGGTAAGGACATTTTTGGGGCTTGAGATCAGCGGCGGTTTCCGAGTTGTAATCTTGCCTCCGAATCATCTCTGTGGGAGGTGGGCAGCCCTTAAAAGCATTTTGATTTAAGGCTTTGTAACTGTTTCAGACAGGAGGGCCGGGCGGCTGTAAGGAAAGCCATTCCGGGCCCAGGGCAGATTTATGGCCCAGCACTGTTAAACACAAAGGTGCCCTTTGCTCTGTGGGAGATGTCTGTGAGCTGTGTGGACAGGGTCCCACTGCGGGGGGTAACTCTGGGGTTCTGGACTCTCCTGACCCTCACACTCCAAAGGGAAGGAGCCAAGGGTCCTGCCAGGGGCTACACCCCAATCATCGCTTTGGGAACTAGCAGCCCTCCAGCCAGGGCCACCTAGGGGCCAGAAGGAGCAGTCAACCAAGCCCAGGTAGAGAGTGGAACCTCCACCCAGGGCTTGCTCAAAGCAGGACCCTCTAGCCAGATTATACCGTATGGTGATACCCCCATACTGGAAGCTGCCGCAAAACCATTCCCCGTAGGTTCCTTGAGTCCTGTACAGAATCCCCTAAAAAAAAAACTGTGGATGACATCCACCCTGGCTAGGTTGATGGCTGCAGCTACAGGCCCGAGCTGCCTCCTCACCTTTCCTCCTGTGAGGAGGGTTGAGGTATCCATCACACATAGAAGCCTCTGCAGTGACCAGGCTGGGGTCATGGGACAGCAGCCTGGGAAGAGCCACAGTCTGCAGGCAGGAGGCCCATCTGCCACCTGCAGGGGCTGATGCTACACCAGAGAAGAGGACAGAGCTCCATGCAGGCACCCGTAGGGACCGGCCAGGATGCAGGGAGAAGACAGCCCTCCAGGATTCGGCTGGGATGCTTGCGCCCTGACTGTGGGATATCCTTGCAGCCTGAAATCTCTAAACTCCTGTGCAGTGTCAGTGAGAGTACAGGCCACCCAGGGCTCGGAGAGAGCCAGGAAAATTGTCCTCGTTACCCTGGCCCACCTCAGACAGAGCCAGAACCTCCAGGATGGGCAGGTCCTGCTCCAAAGACACCAGTGGGAAAGGAAGGTAACTCAAGAGCTGGGATTTTGAAAGTGCTTCTTGCTAGGCATGGAGCTCAGCAGCACAGTGCCTGCCTGGCAGACACAAGGTCCTGAGTTCAATTCCCGGTACCAAAAAAAAAATGCTTCTTTAAGTTATACCCACAGAGGCGGGGAGGACCTGATTCCCAGGGTTGGGTCTCAGGCCTCAGTCTCCCTGTCGAGTGCCTTCCGTGGGAACCTGTGTGGATGTTGTGAAGATCTGCAGGATCCAGGGTGGGGAGATCCACAGGGCTCCGGGTCCTCCCTGGGGGAGGAGGATCTATGCTGGTTCCCACCAGTTTCCTGGCAGGACTGGTTCCCAGCACCTGGTGACAGAGCAGTTGGATAAAACTCCCTCCCACAATCCTGCTTCGTGCTGGCAGCTCATCCTAGAGCTCTGCTGACCTCTAAATTCATTCCTTCACCTTGCACCAAGGAGTGTTGGACTTCTGTCCCAGGGGCTCTGTGCCCTCAGGGGATTATATTCTAGAGGAAGGAAACAAGTATTAAATAAACAGATAATCAGAATAGTTTTGTAGGATGAGGGGGCTACGGGAGGAGGCATGATCAGGTAAGGCCTTTCTGGGGAGGGGACATTTGGGCAGACTTAAAGAAAGTAAAGGGTAAGCCTGCTGGAAATAGTCTGTGCAAAGGCCCTGTGGCAGCTCTACCCTAGAAGCGTTCTAGGAAGAGCAAGGAGGCCCATGGGCCTGGCTCCCACCCATGTCCACATTTTGTGCAGATGAACTTTTCTCTCATGTGTGGCTTTAGCCACATGCTCCCCTCTCATCTGGTTTCGATTCCTAAGCACCCCTGGCCATTCTGGATCACTGGCTGAGGAGATGGTCTATTTTTAAGGGGTTCCTAGAGATCATTTTTCTGGTGGTGTCAAGGCTGCCCAGGCTGCTGTAAAAAAAAATCGGACACGCTTACCGCCTCGAAAGCTGCGTCAGCCTGGCAGAGGTTCACAGAAACTCTTCCATCGTGCTGGCCCCGGATGTGCTGGAACAAGAGTGGACTCCGAGGCACCCCTTGCTGTGCTGGCCCAGCTGTCCTCCCCCCCCCCCCCCGTCCAGAGCCACCTGCAGGGCTGGGCACAGCAGCCATACCTACTGGCAGGCACGGAAGTAATTCATTTTATAACGTGCCCAGCACAGGCCCTGGGCCAGCAAGCAGAGGCCTGGCCCTCACCGCTGCTCAGGAGCCCTGGGCCGCTGGGAGCCCCTCACTCGCCTCCAGCACTTTGTCCCCCAATGCAGCTTTGACACTTCGAGGCCCTTCCATGTAACTAATAGCCGATGTATAAACAGGGCAAGGAGAGGGAAGAAAGAAGGACTCTGCCCTTCTAAGTAAAAGGCGGAAATGTGGGAAATACGGTAAGTGCGGGGCTTCCTCTTCAGCTTTTCCAATCAACCTCAAATCTAATTCTAAATTGTATGTGTGTTTTCTGACACCATCAATTTTCCCATCCATACATTTCCTCATGATTCAGCTTTTCTAACCACTTCAAACCCACCTTTCCGATCTGCAGACTTGCCCTCCGGCAGGTGGGGGTAGCTGGTGAATCGGAGGATGGGGGGGCGACCGAGTTCAGCCACCGGCTGCCCGCGCCTCCTTCCTCCAAGATGGAATTTCCTCTTGGGGTTTCCTCTGTGTCTTCCTAGTCTTGCCAATCGAGCATGTTTTTGTCATCTCCTAGTGGATAGATAAATCGCCCTGCCGCGTCATCCCGGGGGAAGGACCCAGCAAGGTGGCGGGCTCTGTGTAGCCAGGTTCGTTTGCAGTAGAGAAACTCCTAGTGATTGGGACCACCCTGCGACTGCTCTGACTTGCAGATATGGGACAGGAGACTTGGCCAGTCCATAATCTCTCTCTGCCTCTGTTTTTAAGGCATCACAAGCCTGCTGGCCAACGGCGTGTACTCAGCCGCCTACCCATTGCACGATGTGAGTAACCTTGACATACCCTTTATCTCTCTGTCACTTGACTCCCCAGATCCCCATGGGCCACACCCCCCGGGAGCTGCAATTATCCTGTGGTCACAGCTTCCTGCTTGGCTCTCTCTGTAAATGTCAACTGCACACAGGCCTGCCCTGTTCCCCCGTGTGGGGCTGAGAAGTTACACACAGGCCCCTCTTTGCTGGCAGAACAGTCCCACCGAGACAGAGCGTCCAGGGCAGACACTGTGCTGGATGTATGGGCACCTTGCAGCCAGCTGGTCCACACAGTGTTTTCCCTGGCCTGGCTCCCGCCCCCGCCCTTCCCCACCCTGCCTCGTCCTGTCCAGCCCAGGGCTCTGGCAATGACCAGGGCTCTACATGTATATATTTCGGCAGAGCAAGCGGCCAGCTTCCTGAGCTGAGTCTCCAACTCCCACTGGTCTCCCCCTGACAAATATAGCCTGAGGCCATGGCTTGGGGTGGAAAGAGAGACGATGATGCTGTCTTCTGTTTCTGTGGAAACGGGGGCTGGAGTTCACTAAGATCAGGGATCAGGCCATGGGGCCTGAGCACTGTGGGAATCCCGGAAGGAGGCTCTCTGGAACTTTCCAAATGATGGCAAAGACTGGGAACCCAGAGGCTGGAGGGAGAGAGGATGAGTCTGGGAGAATCAGGAGGCCCAGAGTCCAGCCTGGCCACTCACTCTCAAGGGACTTGAATAGAGTCAGCACCTTGATCTCCCTGAGCCCCAGTGTCCCTCTCCGTGGGTTGGGATGTCTTGTTCTGACTGATTGCCAAAGCGGCAGTGGTGTCAGAGCAAACAGACAAGAAAAGGGCTCTCAGGAAGAGAGGCTGGGTTGGACCAACGTGAGTGCCAGGTAGCACAGGGCACTCCGCCCAGATGGTCCAGGGGAAAGATGTGCGGCTGATCTGCCAGTATCACCCTGTCACCTCCCCCTTGGGAAGGCTGGGCTTTGCACCTGTGCATATGCTGTACCACCTGCCTGCAATGCTTTTCCCTGCCTCCTCCAGCAGACAAAAAGCTTCCGTGCCAGGTCTCCCTTTTTTCTTTTTCCTTCTTCCCTGGCTCTGCTGACTTCCTCCTTCCTCCACTGTGCTTCTGATGCCCCTGGCCCACAAAGACACCACTATCCAGCCACGTTTTGTGATCCCTGGTACGAGGCTGGGGGCACAGAAGCCGTGTGTCTCAGGGGCTCCTGCCTGCTTGGAGTCAGCCCTGTGAGTCTCAAAGCTGAGACATCAGTGTGTCCGGGAGTCTGCTGTGTGCGTGCGCAGCACTGTGTCTAGCAGGAGCTTTATTTTGTTCAATCCGATGCAGGCACGGAGACTCAGAAGTTTAGTCACTTGCCCAAGGGGGAGCTGGAGACAAAAGCAATTCCTGGTTGTCACTCTACCACTCCATTCCCTGGAAGGGCCACCGCCTCTTCCTCCTCTGTGAAAAGCCGAATGCACCGTCACCTCGGCCCTCACCACTGCATTTGTCTGAGGAATCCCTTCCGTCAGCAGTTTAAATGCGCTGAACAATACTCCCTGAACCCCTAGGCCTGTTGCCTGACACAGTCCCCACAAAGGACCTCCAGTATCACATAGGGAAATGAATCTTTCTCAATCAGCATTGGAGCTGGCCCTGCGCAGGACAGCCTGCGATATGGGGTCCCTCTTTAAAGATGGAGAAACAGGCTTGGGGCACTTGGGCAGCTTGCTCAGGAACGTAGTCAAAGAGTTAAACCCAGAAACTCTGGATTGTGGCTCCCTACCTCTCCTGGGAATAAGGCATGTTCTATCCATGAGTTTTCATATAGCTGAAGGGTACCTGCCCTGTTAAGGACCAAGGTTAATGTTTAAACATGTGGAGAGGCAGCTCCCTCCGAGCCCAGCCGTGTGCATCCCGCACCCTTAACAGAGCAAGGGGCAGAGCCGTCCAGCACGCCCTCTGTGTTCTCCACATCTGGCTCCTCCACTTGCCCTTCACCTGTGCTGTCTGCATGGCATCTCCCAGCCCCTTGCCCATGGTGTTCATTCACTCATTCATTCATTCATTCATTCAGCAAGAGCATCTCCCAGGTGAGGTGCTGGGAGCCAGCCAGAAGAGCAGCTGCTGGGGTTACATGTGCTGTAAGAACCCCACGTTCTGTGCAAGGCCCTGAGCAGCTCTCTCATAATTAGGGTGTCAGCTGTAGAGAGAACTTTGATACTTCTGGTGGCTGCTCAGTGGCTGTCTGGCTTCTTCCTGGTTGACTTATGCCCACCTCGATGTCACCAGCGAACCAACCTCTGGTATAGGAGTTGCTGCTGGACTCGTGAGGCTGTCTCCTTCATGGAAAGAGGTGCTGGGATGTACCCAAAGGAGCAGGGCCCCACGGGTGAGAACCCTGGGAACAAAGGAGCAAGAACCCTAAAGACTTAGGGAGAGCAGGCCATGCTATTTTCAGAGCACTTGAATCAGAGATGCAGCATTAGGCGTCTTGTTTGGGTACGTGGCCAAGTCTTCCCCACCTTGCAAGGGGTATTAAGGCCATGAAGGCTGCTAGTGAATGGAGGGGACCCCAGGGAGAACCCAAGAGGCCCAGAGCTTTATGTGCCAAGTGATTCTCAAGACCAGTGAGCTGGCCTGGCCACATTCACACTGCGCAGGACCGCTCTCTTGCTGCTCCTCCTTACTTCTTTCTATCAAAGGTTGACATCTGGGCTCACTTTCAACTTACACATTCTTCTTTTCCTTTGAACTTAGACCTGGACGTGAGTCAAACTTAGCTATGGGTTGGGTGCAGTGGTCCAGAGATACAGTGGTCACATAACCGATCACTCCTCTTAGAACACCGGAGGATAAAAGAAGGGAACACCACCCAGGCAGGGCTAGGAGCAAGACACAGGTTGTCCTCACGGGGTAGAATCCAGGTTCACATGATGGGTGCAATTCTTCCTGTCCCACAGAGCTCCTTTTCTTCCCAAGGCTGTGGCTTCCCCTGGGGTCTTCTGGAACCCTCTCTGTCACAAGGGGAGGGTGGCTCAGGCCATCCTGATGGTGGACAGGCAACAACAGGACTTGGGTGGCACTTCTGATGAAAGACACCTGTTTCACACACTGCATGAAATTTTGTCCCGGAATTGCCGTGATCTGTGTCGATGAGGACAGCCAGAGGTTTTTTGAAATGCTGTGAATGCAAGCTTTTCAGAAGCTGCGTGGCTCGGTAAGAGCTCTCCTTTCGTCTTGTTCACAGGGAGACTACGAGGGGGACAGTATTGAGTTCAATGACAGGAAGGTAAGTTGCCGTGGAGCAGGGAGAAGGTGGCCCTTGGGCTGTGGGCTGCGGGGGGCTGGGGATCTAGGCGGAGCAAGAACCTGACTTGTTTGCCTGCGTGGTCTCTCTTGGGCTGCTTGTTTTAGATTCTGAGTGTGGCCACATATAGGGTTGCTGCTTCCCCTCCCTCGTTTTTGGGAGAAAAGTCTTAACCTCCAAGCTTAGCAGGATATTGTTAATGTGTGAGAAGAAAAGAATCCTCAGAGCCTGCTCCTTCCATGGTCCTTTCTCCACCAAAGCTGGCCAGGTGAAAGAAACCCTGCCTTCCCAGGGTGTCTGAACAATGGCCGGGACTGTAGCGGTCTTGGAAGGCATCTGGTCTACTCCCACAGTGCTCCAGGTGAGCAGACTTGGGGCCCACAGTGGCCAGGTGCTCAGAGAGCCGCAGTGCCCAGCAGCACCCTGGGGAAACCTGCTTGATGGTGTTCAAGTCAGTATTTCTCAAACTTGTCTGTTCTGGAATCCTTTTTAATAGAAAATTCAGGGGGTCAGGGATTTAGCTCAGTGGTATAAGCGCCTGCCTGGCAAGAGCAAGGTCCTGAGTTCGATTCCCGGCACCAAACAAAACAAAACAAAAAAATAAGATAATAGAAAATTCACTGAGATGGTGTTCCAAGGAACATCCTTTGGGGTACACGAAGTCATCCTGTCCTTTAGTGGCTGTTGTCCTCATTTCCCTGGTGCTCCGGAGCCTCAGTTCTCACTCTCCATACCCTCACTCTGTACCAGGGATTCACTGTCCTTCCCCCAGGGCTCCCCAGGGAGCCGCCCCACATGAGCATTCCCCTCCCATCCCCAGCCCTTTGCTCCTCCTGCCCCCAGCATTCATTCAGGAAGGTTCTTTCCTGCCTGCTGCCCCCATGCCAACGCCCAACCCCAGCCTGCAGCCTCCACCCAGCACCCACCCCTGCCACTCCTCGTTCCCCAAGGAACCCTCCCTCGGGGGACAGCCCTCCCAGGACCCCGCTGGCACGGCCTCTGTCCCCTCACAGACTGCCTGCCAGCAGATGGTAGGTGGGGAAGCTTCCTAGAGAGCTTCACAATGGTGGCCTTGTCCCAACTCCCAGGGCCCAGGAGCCTCTGTGGATGGAATGTCCTTCGTGTTCAGTCTCTCTCCAGCCCCCATACGTGTTTTTAGGTCTGTGGTGCTTGCTGCAACTTGCCCGCCCCGGGAACCCAACTAAAGATGCTATCTGATTTAGGACAAAAATTACATATTTGGTTATTTTTAGTGTAACATCTGGCTTTTTAGACCCCATGACTTGCAGAGCTCCCTCATCCAATGCTGTTGGAGAAGCACAGTCCCTGCCATGACCTGTCCTGTCCAACTCTGGCCTCTCAGAGTCCATCCCCCTCTGTTCCCTTGTGCCCCTGCCGCTTGGCTAATGCCCTTCCTCCGTCTAAAAATACTTCCTCTGTGGACACCAGCCACCCTCTTCTGGCTGGATTCAGTCCTCCGACCCCTCTACCCAAAGCGGGGCTCTCTCCCAACCTCCAGCCACACTGGATGCCTTTTTAATCTCAAGATGGCTTAGCTGGTGGTCACATCAGCAGGACATCTCAGGCAGGTACTTATTCAAGAAATGTTTACTGACTTTTTCTGTGTGCCAGGCCCAGCTATGATCCTCTACCTGGAGTACGCCTACCCCAATTAATTTCATGTCCCAGCAGGGAGTACAAAGCCTGGTCCATGGGATAGTCTGAGGTTAACGGTGAATGGATGGATGGACGGATGGATGGATGAGTGGATAGATAATGATGGTTAAATAGTAGTGGGTGAAAGGAAGGGAGGGAGAAAGGGAAGGAGGGAGGATCAGATAAATGTTAGCGTCCTAACTCAGAGGCTGGAGCATGTCTTGTTCCCCTTTGAAGGTGGTACTTTAAGGCTTGGTTCTGAATGTGTTGCCATTGCCATGAACCATGAGGCTGAGGCTTCTCCATTTGTGCTCCCGTGAGAAGCAGGAGCCCTGGATGCCTGGTCACAGGTTTCGTACAAGACCAAAGGAAAGTGCAGCAAGCACATTTTCTGCGCTGAGCTGGAGACCGGGTGGGGATGATCAGGCCAGAGGCCGGTCTGGCCGAGGCTGCCTCATCAGTCTTCCTTTGGGATCATGAGCCCTGGGCCCTCGGGCGAGTTCTACCTGCATGAACTAAGCCTGATTAAGCAGGCCCTCACCGAGGGTTGTATGTGCATATTCAGGAGTACAGCCAGGCAGTTGCAGTTCCTCCTTCCCAAGATATAGGAGACTAAGTCAGTCTGGGGCTCATAGAACAGGGTCCAGCTGAGACCCCAGGGACCTGTAGCTGCCCAGTCCAGCATGGGGTGGAGCAGACCTCAGTCCACACCTGGAGAAAATCCCCCGTGCCCCAGCAAGCCTCCCCATGGGGTCTCAGTCTAGTCTCCTACAGCTACTGAGAACCAGAAGATAGGTCCTGTCATTCAGTAGCTGCTTACTGAAAGCCCATGACCCGCCCCAGGCCCTGTCCCAGGCACCGAGGATGAGAAGCAGCCTATGTGCCTGGTCCGCTGTTCAAGAGCCAAGCTCCACACCCATGCAGGCCCGCAACTGTGCACTGCCCCAGTGTGTGGGCCCAGAAGGGCTGAGCTGGAGTCCTCGGAGTGCAAGGGCCCCCTCCCTCTGGTTTCAGCCCTCCCAGCCCGGTGCCTGGCTCCTCCTCTGTGCACTGAGGCTCGCATGGGTCCTTGCATTTCTTCATGGGTAACAGTGTTTGATTTCTGCACACTGAGAACACAGGGTGATGGGCGTCCTCTTCTTGGAAGGAACAAAAGTCTGCAGTGATCAGGCGTTACATAGAAAGCCACTGGGGGCAAGATCAAGGCAGGCAAAACCCAAAGTTTGCACTGTGAGGCTCCCTCATAACTTACTAAAACGTATTTTGCTCTTTTAAGTAATTTTCTTCCCTGCTTCTTGGGGTATGTGTATTGACTTTGGATGAAACATAGCACCCAGGCTCACCAGGGTGTTATTTCTGAGGGCCCTGGAAGGAGCCCCAGGGAGATGGAGATACCCCCTGCGGGTAGATCCTTGGGTCCCCCTCCACACTCAGGGAGCTGGGGCTCCCTGCAAGCTGCTTACATGTCCTGGAGTCGCTGAGACTCACTTGAAGGAATTTTTGCCCATCAGCTCAGGATCTCTCAAGTCAGGGAGGGAGAGTGTCCTAGTCAGCTCAAGCTCCAGGAGCCAAGTAGCACCAGAAGTCCAAGGTCAAGGTGCTAGCCCGCTCGGTCCCAGTGAGGGCTGTCTTCCTGGCTTGCAGACAGCTGCCTTCTAGCCTGGTCCTCATATGGTGGGAGAAATACCTCTTGTGTCTCTTCCTCTAATAAGGCCACTAGTCTAGGATCAGGACCCCTCATTCAACCCTGATCACCTCCCAAAGGGTCGCCTCTCCCAACATAGTCACGTGGGGGTCAGGGCTTTTGCATATGAATTTGGGGGTATACCTGTTCAGTCATCACATAGAATATTTGGGGTGATGTTTTCACGTCTCCACAGGAGATCTGATTCTAGGAGACTGTACCCCTGCCAGGTTTTAAATTTCAGTGTTGCCAAGCATGCCTTCTCTGGGAGGCTGATGCAGGAGGATTGCCACTTCAAACCCAGGCTAGGCAATTTAGCAACTTAGCAAGACCCTATTTCAACATTAAAAAATATTTTTTAATAAAAAATATTTAAATGTTAGGGAGAGAGGACCCATGCAGTGTGAAAAGGCAGGGGCCCACAATGAGTCCATGTGGCCACCCCAGCATTGCCTCCTGCCATCAGCTCCTGATTCCAGCAGGGAAGGACTCACTGAGGAAGCTGGGGGCCCCGCTCCTCTGCACCTGAGCAAGAGGGAGAAAGTGTCCCCCTGTAAGGTGTATGCAGCCTAGATGCCCCTCACTGCAGGTAGCAATCCCCAAGGACGGCCCTGAGCCTCTCTTCCACCCCACCCAGCTCATCCACATGTATAGCGCCCCCACTGTTCACTTCTGCCAAAAATCCAGCCTTCACCGCGTGCTCCTTGGCCCCGCCTCGCTCCCCAACCTTGGCTGTGAGGCTATAGCTCCAAGTCCCGCGTCAGGGCTCAAGGCCCACTGGAGGGTTTCAGGAGCTGCCCTTTGTGTTTGTGCATTCAGGGAGGGGCAGGAATGGAACGCAGGGGGCTTCTCCCTGTTCATCACTTAGGGTCGCTGAGGTTACCCAAACAAGCTGCTCAGATTCCCCAGGCTCTGGAGACAGTCTCCCATCCTGGCCACCCTCTAGGGGCTGGGAAGAAATCAGGGGGGCCCCCGCCCTGCCAGCACCTTGGACTCTGGGTTTGGATGACGGCTTGGCCCTGGGAACAGGTTCAGAGGTGGGCAGAAGGGGAGTTTCCCTGGGCCTGGGATAACTGTGGCCCCCAGGGCTCCCTGCCTCCTCGTAGCCCTTCGGACTCAGTAATTTGGTGACTGCCCACATAAGGGGAGGGGTCGTTTTACCCAGCCATCCTGCCACAACATCATCCTCAGGATGCCTCTGCGTGTTCACACAAGGCTTCCAATCCTCCAAGCTCATTACCATCCCTGCCAGAGCCTGGGGGGCGGGCAGGGTGTGTGTCACTTTCATTTATGCCACCAGCGCTGTTAATCAGGCAGCCCATCTCCAGAGATAAACCTCCAGCTATCTTTGCAGCCCATGAGATTTTTTTTTTTTCTTTTTTGCCATTGATATTTCTCTGCTCAAAACCCTGGTGGTTTCGCATCCTTTGTAAAGAATGATTTGGTATCTGACCGGCATGACCGAAAATCCCAAACAGAGAGGCCTGGTGATGGCAGGCATTGTAGGTCACATCACAAAGAGCTGAGATTCCGCAGTCTGCCAGGAGCACCTTCCCCAGCCCCACCTTCACCTAGAAACGCAGGCTCAGGGGCTAGGGATTTAGCTCAGCGGCAAAAGCGCCTGCCTAGCAAGCGCAAAGTCGTGAGTTCGGTTCCCGGTACCGGAGAAAAACCCCCCAAAAAAATAAAATAAAAAATAAAATAAAATAAAATAAAATAGAAACGCAGGCTCACTCTGGCCAGTGCACAGCCAGCTCTCACTAAGTGTTTGTTGAATGAATGAGTGATGTGGTAATGGCTATAGCACCACTGTGCTCTGGAGGGAGTGGCCTCAGAATGGGACCCTATCACCAGCTCCTCACACTTCTCCTCTCCAGCTTCTGTATGAGGAATGGGCGAGCTACGGGGTCTTCTATAAGTACCAGCCCATCGACCTGGTCAGGTAAGTGGGGCCCATCCAGCCTGGCACCTCAGGCAGCGGGAAGCAGGTCCCTGGTAAAATGTCAGTCAGGTAGAGTCCCTGTGTTTCAACCACTGTGAATATCCAGTTACCCAGGGGCCTGTTAGAGCTTGAAGGCTGAGTGGGAGGATCTGGGGCAGCGTTTATTCACAGTGACTGGGAGACAGGCACTTTCCATCACATTTGCTGTCTCCTTGTGAATCTACTGTCTGGCCTGGCCCTGGCGTCTTGGTGTTGTGGAGCAGAAGGAAAGAGCTGCCTTGGGTTTGCCAGAGTTTGGGGAGATCCAGGGCCACCTCCATTTCCACAAGGCAAGATGGAGGGCTGCCAGCTTGGGCAGCATGGCCTGTGGGGACTTGCACACCAGCGTTTGGCTCGTACAAATCCATTTAAATGATAGAGGTTCCAAGGCACTCAATAGGAGCAGTCACTGGTTTTCTTGGCACCTCCATGCCAAGGTTCATTCTAGTCCTTACCCCAAGCGGGCCTTGGAGTGGGGCTGACAGCCTCAGAGACACCTCCCACCAGTGTCACGGGTGGAGGAGCACCCACCTTCCCAGGGCACTAGAGAAGCGGGTGGGGATGTGTAGGAACAGCAGAGAGCACCTCACGCCTGATGAGGTGTCCTAGAGCCCTGTTCTCTGCTTCTTGGGCAACAGAAGCTGTAGCCCCAGGCTGAGTGGGTCCTTGCTGCGGAGGGCAGGTGACACGTTTTTCCCCACAGCATGAATGATAGTAAATGTGTCTCTGGCTTTGCGTCTGGGTGTAGGAAGTACTTCGGGGAGAAGATTGGCCTGTACTTCGCCTGGCTGGGGGCATACACCCAGATGCTCATCCCTGCCTCCGTCGTGGGAATCATTGTCTTCCTGTACGGATGCGCCACAGTGGACCAGAACATCCCCAGGTAGGTGGCAGCCCCTCCCCTGTGGGCCACACCCCCTTCCTGCCCCAGAGCCACTTCCCTTCTTATAGGGACAGAATCCATTAGGACTGTGGCCTTCAGCCACTTCCTGTGCACACGCTCAGCCTCCAGAGAAATCCCATGCCTGGCCACAAGCTGTCAGAATGAAGTGCTCATGACCATCTAAATGCATAGGCGTCCTTCTCAGCCATGATCTTCCTAGGGTGTGTTTCATATTCAGGGAAAGATTTAAAATGAATACCAGACCCACGTTCATACTTTGAAGTGATTGTTGTCATCATTGTTATTTGCCTGTTCTATGTAATGTTTGCTCACTCTATGGTAAGAAAATTCCCTGCACCATTGGGCAGTCAGGAAGAGAGACCGATGTTGGAGACCTTGGTGCAGGCTGGTGTGAGAGTGAGGCCAACTCCACCAGCCCAGCCTGCCGAGCAGCAGCTGCTTCCATCATGCCCAGGGCCGTGGGGCATCTCATGGGAAGGGGGCCAAGCCACAGCCAGAGATGGTGCCATGCAATCCACCAGGTCTTTGCATGGAGACCCCATGTGCCTTCTGCTAGTTACCTGGGGTTAGGACAAACAGCAGGGGCTCCACAAAATGACCAAGACCCCGGAGACCAGCCAGCTCGTTTCTGAGTTCTGTTCTCCCAAAGTCCACATCATCCTCTGTGAGCCCCTCTCCATCTCCTGCCAACCTGAGGAGCACTGTGCGTGTGTGCTCAGGCCCCGAGCTGTCAGGGACACCTTGCCAACAAGCATCTTGATGTTTGTGTGGTGCCTTCCTTGTGCACATCACTGTGCTAGGGAACTGAGACCCTAACGGGGAATCTGAGGAATCTGAACTGGACCTGTCTTGCAGAAGCTCATGGTCTCCAAAGAGTCCAAAGACAGCTGCTCAGTGACTTTTCTAGCGACCCTGTGAAGTATCTTCAAAATAGAGCCATAGTTTGGAGTATTCATCACCAGTTCTGGTCAGTAAAGAGCCAGTGAGTCCTTGGACTTCAGAAGAAGCTGGTTCTTAGCAGTCCAGAAAGACTATATCTGGTCAATTTTTGTTTAAATGATTTAGGACATGAATAACACCTCAAATATTTCACCCACCCAGAGTCAAAGCTCTACAGGCCTTTGGCCCAGCCCCATCCAGTGCTATTTTTGTCCTAGGCAGGAGAAAGCTTGTCCCTTTGTTTGCTAGGGTGATGTGAGGTCCTTGCACCCTAAGTTTGATTAGGGTAAAAAGCAAAGAAGGTCAGACCTAGAGGAGGGGTTAAGGCTGGCTTTGCTGCAAGAGCTCAAGGCTGAGGGAAATGGCAAGTGGAAGTGATCCCGGGAGCCCCCACCTCCCTCCCTCCTGAGGGGAGGAAGCCCTGCCAGCCCAGGGTGTGGGCTCCCGAGAAAGGCCACCAGGATCCTTTTGACAGTGCCAGCTCTGCCACCTTCTGTCACGTGGTCAGACATGCAGACAGCAGTTGGTGCCAGAGACAAAGCCAGTGCCCAGCCTGTCCCAACCCTGGTCACCGCCCGGTCAGTACTTCGTATAGAAACAGGAGATGTCTGGTCTCCCCAGAGTCCATCCAGCAGGGAGGCAGCAGCCCATGTGGCGCCATCTTGCCATGCAATGCCTCTCCCACCTTCCCTGAAGAAAAGATCTTCATGCTCCTTGTCTTTATGTTGGCTGAGTTAAAACCAGCCGGAAAAGGCTTATTGTCTGGCTGGTGGCATTTGCACTGGAAGTGGAGGCAGGGAGGAGAGGCCATAGGGCCTCTCCCCAACCCGCCAGGCAAGGTCATCCCTTTGGGTTGCCTTTCACCCACTGTCCCCTGGGGGAAGGGCTTGGGACATCAGAGACGTCCTGAACATGCCAGGCACGCATGTTGGTTTGTTTCAACCTCCTGGCAACCCAGTCGTTGCTATCCGCACCTCCACTCGGCAGATGAGGAAACTATGGACTAGGAGTTAAGAGGAACTTGCCCGAAACATTAAAGCTGAGGTTCAAACCTAGAGTGGCCAGTGCTAGAGCACACTTTCTCCTACTGCCTGTGGTGCTTGGCCCTTCCCCCCAACTCCTCCGTGCACACGCACACAGACACACATGTATGCACACCTCCCCAGATACTCTGGGAGAGCAACCTTTCCTCCGTCTTTCCCCTGCCAGGCACAACACCGGGCAGCACAGTGTAGCACATGTGCCATCCTGAAATAGACGTGTGGGAGCCACCAGTAAAGGAACAGAGCTGAGCCGGGACGCCCTCCCTCCTGGGCATGGAGCAGCGTCCCCCAGAGCTGGTGGCAGATGTTTCTAAACCCCAAATGCCATGCACCAGGTGTGATTGTGTAATAAGTTCATGGGTATCCAGAAATCTAAAAAGCAAAACAGAAAGCACCCACTCTGGCTGTGTCCCAGATGACCGTCTAACCCCTGGGAATGAGCCTCCTGCCTGAGCATCTATTTGTAGATCAGGGTCTGGTCCAAGTTCACAGGAAGGAGAGAGTTGAGGGAAGGTCATGGTTGGAAGGGCTGTGTTCTGGCCCCTCTTCCTCATTTTCCAGGAAGAAAGGCCAAGTTGGAAACTAGAGGACTTGTGGGAAGAGACAGAGTATAGGACAGTCTGTCAAGCACCTGGCCCAGGCACCCGACCTCAGCAGGGAACCTCTGTGGCCCCCGAGAGCAATTCTGTGCATAGGGTTTGACAGGTCAGAGACCGAGCTTCAAATCCCATTGTGCTGTTGGCTCTGGAGAAATTACTTCCCTTCTCTAGGCTCCTTTCCCCATCTGCAAAGGTGGGCTTGTAATTCAGTACTGTCGTCCTCAGTGCTCTTGTTCACCCACTGGTGGCCTTTCAGTCTGCACAGGAGAGAGCCTGGGCTGGGGCCTCGGGTCTCACGCAGCTCCCTCCCCTGCGTGCTGTGTGTGGCTGCACCCCAGATGGCTGTCTGCGCAGCAGGATGGAGCCTGCCGTGACTGAGTTTCCTCAGCCTGGATATCTTGGGGATGTCTTCCTTTCATCCCAGCCTCCGGGAGAGTCCCGGCGCCCATTCTCTGCCTTCTGAGTGTCCAGCACACCCAGTGACTGTCATGTCTGGATGCCCAGTCTACACCACAGGGCAGCTGCACACCAGCACAAAGAGAGATGCTATCTGACAGTGCTCAGCCCAGTGCCTCCGGAAGCGTCAGAGTTCTCACTGAATTTCACTCTCTGCCTCCTTCTGTGTCCCAGGGCCTGGCCAGATGATATCCATGTGGAAACTTGAACCCAGGTTCCTTAATGCAGTTCTGATGGTGCCCAGTGATGAGAGGGGGGTTGATGGAGATGCTTGGCTCAGGGTTGGTGAGACACAGGCTGTACAGTTGTGTAGTAGATGTCTGGATACCATCACTGAAGGAAGGAAGTAAAGCAACAGTTCCAAACCCCGTGCCCTACACACTGGGCCAAGGCGAATGCTCCTCTTTCAGGGGCTTCCTGGTCCCAGTCCCTTCTGGCTCCCAACTCTGGCTTCAGGAGGTAGGAGGCTGGTAAGGGCTGGCTGCTGCATGTCTGCAGCTTCTGGTTAGCAAGTGGGGCTAACCCTGGTTAGCAGGTTGGTGAGCACCACTACCCTGGAGTCACCCTGGAGGAAGCACTCTGCTCCCCTCCTGCATCAGGCAAGCCTGGATGCATCACAAGTAGGGTCAGTTATAGAGTCCCAGAACCCCATGCAAAATGACATCACAGGGCCCTTGCGGAGACACCATGAGGGATTTTAAGGCAGCAAGCTTGGGGCCTCACACTAAGCCTGGGGTCCTGTGGCCAGAGCTCAGGTTAGCGACATCATGGGTGTCACACCTGGCCCTGGGCAGTGCAGTGGGACAATAGTGACTGAAGCCAGCGGATGTGCCTCACTGTCTCTGCTGTGGTGTGGACTAGGGGCCTTCGTCACCGCAGCATGGCCCCAGGAGGTGTCCCTTCCGAGTGACAGGGGCCGAGGGCCACCCTTCTCTTGCAGCATGGAGATGTGTGACCAGAGGTACAACATCACCATGTGCCCTCTCTGTGACAAGACCTGCAGCTACTGGAAGATGAGCTCGGCCTGTGCCACGGCCCGCGCCAGCCACCTCTTCGACAACCCAGCCACTGTCTTCTTCTCTGTCTTCATGGCCCTGTGGGGTAAGCGAGACCAGCAGTGTGTGGGCCGCCAGTGGTGACATGGTGCCTTTTATCTGAAGCACCCATAGTGGGGTTTGCCAGGGGTGCACCCAGACTGCAGTGGAAATGACTGCCACACCACCGGGTCTGTGCTGATCAGAGATCTGGGGGTTTATTCTGACCCTGCCAAGAGCCAGCTGCCCCTTGGGACAGTCCAGGAGAGTCCGAAGACACTGGTGTCCTGGGCTGTCAGCACAAGAAGGGCAGCTGCTTCAGTACATGGTGGCCAGGGCTCCACAGCCTCCCCTACCATGCTGCCCATGCTGCCCATGCTGACCGTGATCCCTGCAGGCCAGGCCCGGGGACACTGTCTCTCCTTAGTTCCTCATGGCCTCCCTGCTAGCTTCCTGTGCCTATTCTCATACAAGGAAACTGAGGTCCAGAGAGGCCATGAATATTCTGGGGTTGCACAGCCTCTGAGGAGTTAAGGCAGACACGTACGCATAGGCGCGCGCGCGCACACACACACACACACACGTGTACACACATGCTCCCAGGGTGCTGCAGAGCAGTGGCCTGTGCTACCAGTAGATTCTTCTTCATTTGAGTGTCCCCTTCCGGGACAGAGCCTGGCAATATAGGGCAGCACGTGTACAGTTGTGTAGTAGATGTCTGGATACCATCACTGAAGGAAGGAAGTAAAGCAACAGTTCCAAACCCCGTGCCCTACACACTGGGCCAAGGCGAATGCTCCTCTTTCGGGGGCTTCCTGGTCCCAGTCCCTTCTGGCTCCCAACTCTGGCTTCAGGAGGTAGGAGGCTGGTAAGGGCTGGCTGCTGCATGTCTGCAGCTTCTGGTTAGCAAGTGGGGCTGGCCCTTGTCTGCAAGCAGGACTCATCACAGTGTTAGCCGGCTGAGGGTTTGGGATTTGTGTGGTGAATAGCCGCGATGTCCCCACTGGTCCTTGGGGCCTCCGTCCTCTCATCCAGAGCCTCTGGGCTAACAGGTGGGGCCAGGCACAGAGACAGCACAGGAGGGAAGGGTGGGAAGTCAGGAGGGCTTCCTGGGAGAGGTGTGAGGCCCTTGGCTGCGCTCTGAAGATATGGCAAGCGGGTATTTGTGGCAGAAGAGCCACTCGGAGAGGCCAGAAAGCAGCCCTGCTGGCTTCCTGCTGTCTCACCTGGCCCCTGCTGCAGGGCACAGTCCTGGGGCTGGAAAGTGCACCAGCTCTTTCTTTGCCACCTGGGTGCCCAATGGGCATGTGAACACTGGGTGCCCAGTGTACCAAAGTTGATCGCTCTTCATGGCTCTGTGTGCCTCGCTGTCTGTGTGACTTCTATCCATGAAGAGCAGATGCATCCCGTTCCTAAGTGGAAACAACATGTCTCTCAAAGATGTGCCTGCCTCCCTGAGGTCCAGGCCCTATGATGCCAGCTCAGGTTCCTCCTGACTGAGGGGCAGCCACTCAGCGGTGCTGGCTCCTCAGAGTGGGTTTGGACCAGGAAGACAGGGCCAGATCTGCAGCCAGCCAGGGATGGCTGTGGGAAGGGCTGAGCAAGCCCGAGGCCCAGGTGCTGGTCTGTGGGCTGCACGCCTCCCCCTGCCTGTCCTTTGGTGCCTGCATCTTCCCCCACCAGAGTCCAGCACCCTCTCCTGCTCCAGAAGCTCTGTCTGGTCTGGAGCGTTCTCTGTGGATGTGCAAGAGCATTTTCAGCAAGGCAGAGGAGGCAGAGGAGCTGGGCTTCACATCCGTGTGGCCTGACTTCCCACATTGGGCCTGGGTGTAGCTGCCCCTGTGTGACTGGGAGGCATCCGAGGAGCAGGGAGCAGAGAACCTGGCCTGTCCTCACCTCCCACTCCAGCACTGGCAGCGGGGCTGGGTGCTTGGCCAGCTGGGTACCAGTGAGGGTGTGGGTCCGGGTCTCCCGGCAGATGCTGTGCAGCCCTCTCTCTCCCCAGCCCACTAGAGAGCAGTCAGGGGGCCTTTGGGGAAACCCTTTGGCATGGGCTTCATCCTGTCCTTGTCCGCACTGCAGCCCCTGGCACACTGGGCTGGAAGGCCGGCCTATCAGAGCATCTCCATGGGGTCCCCACCCAGCTCTGCTCCCTCACGCAGGGCCCCTAGATCCCTGTGAAGCTGCGGACCCAACACCCACTGGGGGTCTGCAGGGTGCCTGTGGATACACGTGAGCCTCGTGGAGCCCAGCCACCCCAGCCACTAGGAGGTCATTCAGTGCCACCTTTTGTGGACAGCCAGTTCCCCTGTGTGCACTCAACCCCCACCCCAGACTCCAGCTCCAGCTCTGCCACATCACCGCCTCTTCACTGTAAGCTCAGATTTTCATCTGTAAAATGGGCTTGAGATGAGATGAAATCGTGGATACAGTCTCAGCACGGCTTAGCACACCACTGGCACTCAGTACAGTATGTTGTCGGTGCCACCTCATCACACTGCAGTGTCATGAGGACTAAATAAATCCTATATGAAAGTGCCCACAGTGTGCCTGGCATGTAGGAGACATTTACCAAATGGTATTGATGGAGTGTGTCACATATCTGGCACCCCAGCAAACCATGGGAAGCAAAAAACGATGTATCCACTCCTCCGAAAGCTCACCATGTAGGATTCCAAGGGAGCAGTATGTGCAAAGGCCCTGTGGTAAGATATAGGCCCAGGGAAGAAATCTGTGGGAATAGGCAGGAAGATGCTGGACTATCCTGGAGAGGCCAGCAAGGACATGCTATAAAGAACTTAGTGTTCTCACAAGGAGGAACCAGAAGCCAGGGCAGGTCACCACTGTGTCCAGGATATTTTCCTGTCTGTTGCCTGAGGCAGAGGCTGTAAACAGAAGAGGAAGCTCCTGCAGTGATTAAGAAGGAGTTAGCTCTGACTGGAGCTGGCAGCTGTGGCTTTTGCTGGAGACCACTGTGAGCTTTGTGGAAGGGACTGTAGTCCCCACCTTGAGATGTACCACCTTCCCATCTGTGACTGCCTGTGACAAGAAGGCACTTTGTCCTACAGTGGGGGCTGGACTCTGGGAAAGCAGCTGAACCGAAGGTGCAAGAGAGGCAATGGGAGCCTCATCCCATCTTCCCTCCCTGACCCTGGGAGGTCCCTGACTTGTCTCCTCACTTCCCTCTTTCCCAGTTTAAAGTTCTGTGAAGAGCCACCCCGAGCCCCTGGTCATGACCACCCCCATAAAGGGCTGCAGTGGTGTAGAGTCCTCTGCTAATTCTCACTTGGTGTGAGCTCCAAGTCATCCAGAGATGTGGGTGTCTCCACTAAGTGCTGTTCCTCTGTCGCACAGGGTACCCTGGAGATGTCCAACCCCAAATCCTGCCCTCCCCAGGGGCTGTCACCCCAGCCTCACGTCAGCCCTGGGAATGGCGCAGCCCCCTGCAGTGCCTCTGTCACGTCCCCTGTGGACATGTCCACTGTTGAGCGACCCTCCACCCTGGGCTGGGGTTTCAGGGAGCTTGCAAAAGCCCAGATCCTGGGCCCGGGGGGTGTAGCTCAGAGGTAGAGCACACAGGTGACATGCATCAGCACCAAAAGCATGCAGACTCCTGGGCACCACACCTGACCTGCTAAAATGGGGCCCAGGGCCCTGGAATCTGCATGCTGAGCAAGCTCGGAGCCGCCCCGTGTCTGTGGTTTTCTGGAGCTTCTGATCCACCTATGGCCCCGTCCTCTCTTCCTACCCATCCCTCTGTCCAGATTCACTGCCAGTCCATCTGCCCACTCCCAGAAGTGGCTGCTGTTCTCAAGAGCCCAGCACTGCCCTCCCCTGTCCTTGAGGTGGTGACATTAATGGCCCCACCCGGGCTGGGTGCTGGAAACAGAATGAGTGTGATGTGGACATGCTCAGGCCGAGCCTGCATGTGCCGGGAGCCAGTGCTTGGGTCCTCCTGGCTGGTACAAGTGGGCGTCAGGTTTTTTTGTTTTTAAATGTGGAGGACATGTAGCCAGGGTCTGGGACATTGGGTTGGGGCTCAGATCGCAACTCTGCCTTATGCCGAGGCCTCTGTCAGTTCGCCAGCTTCATCTCCTTCACAACAGAGCAACCAGCCACTCAGGTGGGCTGAGCAGCCCCATGCTGAGCTCTGATGTGCAAAGACTGACGCCTCCACAGTGATGGGACCCCATGGGGCAGATGAGCGCAATGAAGCAACCTGCACCAGCCTATGGCCAGCCTACACCTGCCAAGAGGCAGAGGCCAGACGTGAGCCCCATTGTTCTGGTTCCTGTGTTGCTCACCAGCTGTGCCCAGCGGAGCCCTGCTTAGTCCTGACACAGTTACCTCAAATGTATACACTTACCTGGAACAGCTTCCTCATCGGTCTTCATAAAGCCACGCCTCTTACCTGTGTAGACTGACTATCGTCTACTGACTATGGTCTACTCCCTGTGTAGACTGTCTTAGCACTCTGTGAGGTCTGCCTCAGAAAGCCCCCAAACAGCCCCAGAAGGAGGGACTGTTATTTTCTCTGATGAGGACACTGAGGCACAGAGAAGTTAAGTGACTTTCCCAAGATCACACAGCTAACAGAATGATCGCAGATCCACGGCCTGGCCTGTCTGCCTGCAATGTCCTAGTGGATGCCCTGGTCACATCTCTCTACCCATTAGGCACCCTCTTGGGGGAGCAGGACTCAAACCCGGCAGTAAGGGGTACAGAGGCAGCAACACTGCCCACGGGGTGGGACTCTGCTGCTTTCACAAACACCCGCTGCTTCGGCCCTCAGAGTGTTGTCCAGCTCCTCTGCCCCTGGCCTCAGTGGCCAAGCAGCCAGGAGGGTCTCGTTCTCCCGAGATTGGGGAAGGGGAGACCCCAATGTGCCCGTCTCTCAAACAGAGATTCAACCAACATGCCCCATTTTGGAGAAAAAAAAAGTCACAGAAAAGCCAAACTACCCCCACAAAGCCTTTTGGAAAAAGGGAGCTTATTTAAGTCAGGACGGAAACAGCAGGCGGAACGAGGTGGGCCTGAGCAGTCTGGAGCCATCCACCCCCGACAGCC